ATCTGCCTGTTTCACAAGATTCTAATTCTCTATTTTAAAATACAGACATACATGGTAGTCATTTTGGATCCTGTTTTCAAACTGGAAGTGCAACCGAGAAATTTTCAGTCAGCAAATTTTAAGAACTGCACCGCAACATGGAAAAATATGCTACATGACGCTAAATGTTAAAATGCTCTTATATCTGTACAAAGAATGCATTTACCTTTATGTGTACGACTCCAGGGAGCGACCCGATGCGCTGCTCTATGGACTGGACACAGGAGCCACAAGTCATACCCTCCACTCCAAGGGAAACTGAACACAGACTGACTTTCTGTGTCATGATTGTTTTGTCTAAATGGCACAAGAAGGGCAAAAATAACATTAAACTGCAAGTCTTTAAAACAAGAAATCAGGGAAAACATCACTAAGTAGAGGCAAATGACAAAACAGGCAGGTCGGCTCTTCTCTCAAAATGCAGAAACAAAAAAGAACTACTAAACCTAACTACTAAAAACATACTGTGACAGTCGTGTTAGCGTCTTGGGGACACACATGACTGAGCTCTTTATACATTTGTAAAATGGCACTTTGCATTACATAATTATTATTCTTTTCATTTTAATTACACTCAAAAGAGACAGTCACATATTAAACGTGGGTCCTGATAGCTGTGAGAAGACAATGGCTGCTTTGAACCAACACCCCATAAGCCTTGTAACCAAAATGAGATTGGAAAACACTTAACAATACTATTTATTTTACAGAAAGCAGGATATCTTGCCCTTCTTAAAAAAAAGGTGAATCAAATTTTAATGCAATATCTAGCAAATTAATGCTCAAAAATTGACAAAGAGTCATACTACAGCTGTTTAGAAGCAATGGACAAAATTTGGAGCTGCATCAATGCTGCCTATTTAGACTAATCTATATAACCTAAAACCAGTTTGTTCACTTCTGGTACCTACACTTGCCAAAAACAAAAATAAACAAAGCTTCTTTGTGCAATATGTACAGAAATGTAAGAAATGCAAAACCGCAGGGGAAGGTAATTATTTCCATGCTAGAATGGAAAAATGATTCAAGCAACAGCAGATTAAAGCTCGAAACACATTAAGTCACTTGCATTAAAGTTAACAATCCCCTCCGTTTAAATGAGACACTGATAGGAGAGACAATTTTAGGGGGAAATGAGGTGACATATTGTCCAACAAGAATCCTGGTGCCAACTCAGCACTTTGCCACCAAGTCAATGTTCACCTAAAGTATGACAACTATCTGCTTCTCTTGAGAACTGAAAGACACCTGCCACACCAATACAAAGTCGTCTCAGTTCTCAAACTTGCTCATAGAGACTGTGGCAGGTTTGGTTGTAGTAACACACATCTGATTACAAACTGATGAGTGTCACAGTCAAACAGGCTTCAGATCTGAGACTAGTTTACATCTCAGACACCGAAGAAACTGACAGGACAGAAAGCCAGCAAGGCACTGGGTCTCAATGGCTACAAAACACAATTCTGTCAGAGGATGAAATCAAATATCGGTCTCAACGAAGACAAAGGCGATTCAATCACATCTAATCCTGCAAAAGCAAGTGCACACTGACGTTTCTGGATGCTCTTTACGACTAAGACGTTTACTCATAAACGTAATGAGACTTAATGTCGTCCACATATAATTTATAACAAAGTTGTATGACTTTTGATGACAGCGACTATGTTACTATGATGCTCACGCTCTAGCATTTAGTTTTGGTAAGGTTAAATCAGCTAACGAGAACAGTAAGCTAGCTTGAATTAGCTACATAATAAGTAAAACTTAACGTTAGCTGTCGCCTGCTTGTTGCCAAGCTCACAAAACAATGTTTAGTCTATAAAGTCAGCGGAGATGTCAACTAAAAATTGATCTTTCCTTAACATTACAGATAAAATTCGTCATGTCACAGCTTTAAGCATGAAAAATACGTAAACAACTCTTACCTTTATGTTACCCAAAGGGAAGTGACCAGTTAGCTACAGGCTACTGTCGTTGGCTGTCAGACTGTGTGGCTAAGCTAGCTAGCTAGCTTCTTCCCCTCGCCCTACGTTACAAGCAACAAAACATGCCGTAGCATCGTCCTGCCTGCGAGGAAATAAGTGCCGGAATAATTGTTTTCGTCCTCTGTTATGACACAACCCTGTGAAGCTGTATCTCTTTCTTCTTCTCATGCCGACGTGACTAACGTCCCCACACTGCTGCGTCATTTGCCAAGAGGCGGAGCTGCGTGCAATCCATTGCAATTGGTAAAGGTTCATTTGCCCTGGATTTGCCCTGACAGGCTGCATTTACTGCCATGTAGTGCACAGCTGTAATCACTCCATCAATAATTAGCTATTATATGGACTATGTTAAGACTTTATTGGATAAAACTGTACAGATTAGTAGGGATTTTTGGTAGGTTTACAGCAATTAGTTTGTAAGGCACACGACCTGAGATGAAGTGTGAACCTAACAGGCGCTACTCGGGGTGTGTAAAAACTCACATGTGCGATTTTTGTTTCCTCAGCAGCCTTGTCTCCTTTGTCTCTTATTTAGTCTGAGCAGCAGGCTAATTGTCGCTCTGTCGTCATGCATGCATCCTGTATAGGTCAGGAGTCCGGGCCACAATGTGTCTGTGAAATGTGCTACATCACAGTGATTCGACTTGAGGCACCTGTGTTGTAATATTTAAAAAATACACTGGTTGTCCTCACGGTGGCGCTTTAAACACAGGCCAAACTTGTGTTTTGCAACCGTCCAGCTGGTCTTGACTGACCCCTGCTGTAGGCTAGCCAACATGTGACATAAACATTTGCCCATGGTGATAAAATTGCAACTTCTCTCTCTGTGCCCATGGGGGTAAAATTGCAACCTTTTTTTCTGTGGGTGGCTGCTGGTCCTACTGTGATGACAATCAGAGGGATGAAGCATCTTGTTGACTTGCCAGAGGGGCCCTGCTTCACATGCGAGGGATGCCCTGTTTCTCCTGTCAACTAAAATCTGAGATATGATTTCATAAATTCTGCGTGTTTGACATTTTAATGGTGTATGAGTTGGCTCTTAATTGAGATTCCCAGGAAATGGACCCCAGGAGGAGGAGGTGTTTCCTAGGCAACGACTGATGGGGATCCAAATAAACTATAAACACTTCCTCTTAATTTAGCCCACTATAGCCTATTGAGAGAAATAAAACACTGAGTCAGTTATAAGCCTATTGCTGTTTGAGTCACAGCTGCTTGAATTTGAAGGTCTAAAGATGCAGATGCAGGGATGACTTACACTTTCTGGAGTAAAGCAGATTTCAAACATACTGCCTTTTGCGTTACTGATTATGCCTTGCCAAAAGACCAATAGCTTTTCCGTCACCATGAATCATTGATTATTTCACTTTTTGTATTGGCCATTTGTCAAGAAAATCAAAATCAAACTTAGATCAAACATAGAAACAAAGAGCCACCAACGCACCATGTGCATGTGATTTACATTTGTTCATTTGTTCCTGCATTTCTAATGATTTCCTTCTCTGAAACAAGCAAACAACCAGACAAACAAATAAATCATGGCTCCCACTGGCACCCACCCAGGTGCATGCTGGTTCCATACCTGCCTATCTATCTGTATAATTGCCGGTGCCCAGTGTCAAGCAATTTACAAGCACAACAAAAACAAGCAAAATAGTAATTAAACAAAAACTATATATGCTGGACAAAGATAATGATAAAAATAAACTTAACAAAATGAAAACACTATCAAATTCAAATCTAAATAAAGCAAACATTTACAATAAAACCAATACTAGCTCACTTATTAGTGGTAAAACAACAACTAAATATTAACAACTAATACTCATACACCCTTAATCATATGATATGGCTCAACAGTGTTACAACACAGTTTGTATCCACCAGTATAACTGATTAATTTTGTAGCAATCACAGCATGATAAATAGAAAGCTATACAGGAGACAGAAATGGGTAAAGGTGGATTAAATGGCCGAATACACAAGTATGCCAAATGGAAAACACACAAAGACAACATCAGGGCTGCCAAGTCATTAAAAGTAATCATAAAGTAGTCTTTACCTGCTGCCAAAATCAAAGCTCAGATCTGCCCATGGTGGCGAGAACAACAGAAATACTACGATTATATTGTGCTTATGAATGTAAAAGATCATAAATGCATACACATATATCTTAAAGTATAAAGTATACTGATGGCTGCCAAGCAGTAGCTGACTCACTCCCCGAGCCATCCTCCAAGTCAGTGCGCAGCATCCACTTGACAAAGACATCCAGCAGCATAAACAATAGACAGGCATCAAGGTGCACAAACAATAATCTTTAATAGTGTTGGCTTTTATTAGCAGCAGGAAAAGGAAATGCAGACATGAGAAAGCATCAATAATCCTGCTTGTCAAAGTGCAAGTAGTACTATAAATGAACAGCTTTGTCAGTGATGTTAGTTTAATATTTTCAGGATAATAAGATTCTACACTGTAACCTTGCGGTAAAAACAAATGCGTGTAATACATTAATTAAACATGATGGTGTTTAACCTGCAGCTGTGCTCCAGGGGAGACTAAAACACCGATATAGTGTCCACTTGTGTTTATTAATGACCCTTTTTCACACTCACACACACACACTTTGACACACTGACCTACTTTCCCAGTACCCGTGCACATAGTATCTTGTGCTCTCAGCCCACGGGTCACGACGCACACGTACGCACTCACGAGCACGCGCGCACACACACATTGTTGTAAACAAATAAGTCAAATCAAAGGTAAACTCTCTTTACTACAGTAAACAAAGACGGGAGCATGTTATGTGTTGATGTTTTATTGATGCAGACTCTTCCTCTGCATGTGCATGCTGCTGGTTGGAGATGCAGCAGAGCAGATCCATGTTTTCCCCCGCTCACGTGTACCGGCTGCTCGGCAGCGCCCGTCAAGCTGTCTAAAGCCAAGAGGAGAGCTTATTATGGGAGCTGCTCCTGCTGTCCTATATCAGCGACAGCCAGCATTTCTGCAGTCATCTCCAGCCATGGCTCCGAGTGAACGCTGTCTCCTCCACCACCGGCAGAGCACAACACCCAGAGGAAAGTGTGGCTTTTGAGCTGTTCATGTAAGTAACACACGGTGTTTGTTTCTGTGTGTGTTATTATATGCTCGGATATCTGTGAACGTGTCTATCTGGCGCCACAAGTGGTTTATCTGTTCACTTGAGTTCAGCTCAGTTCAGCTGGTATAGATTAATAAGAAGGATTTTAATATGAGTTGCACAGATCTTGCTCTTAAATAGGTGTCCACAGAGTCACCAGGGTATCAAGCTTCAAAATATGTTGTTGTTTATTGTTATTTAAATAGGCTGGGCCGACATGTCTGTGAGCAGAGTTTACAAGCCCAGTATTTACTGTTGAAACTTGTAGCTGAAGCCTCAGAGAGGTGAGGATACACATATTAAACTCTATTTAAAAGACTTCTATAATTAAGCAGGAGTCAGTGATGACTCTTTTAATTCGGAAAAACAGTGTGGTCACATTTCAATAAGGTCTGCAATGCTGTGGCAAAATGAGTCCACCGTTAAAACTTAATGAATGGGTGACATTTCATATGGTGCTTGATGCATGCAGTATATAGATTACATCAGTTTATACTGAGTGAAACGTTGCTTTCACTACTGGGGGGAAATGTCAGTAAAAAGGATTCAGCATCACTGTTTATTTTTTATTTATTTATTCATTTATTTTGACATGAGTGTGCCATTATTCCACATCCATCAGTATACAGTATTTGACAGGGGTTCTCAGCAGTGGCAGTTTTCATGTTCATGCAGGCAACAGTGGCGTAAGAAAGTTATGACGGGCCCCAGTGCACGCTATCCTGCATGTATTGCCTCAACACAAATAGAGACTTGACGTTAGACAGCATCAGTATATATTATACCCAACAATCATCATTGCATATCTGACAAAAAAAAAATCGACAGTAAGAAATTAATCATTTTACTGAATAGTTTTATAGTATATTGATAGATTTTATTGCTCATATAGAAAAAGCATGTAATTTTGCTTTAGATAGATACTGACTATTTTAAAAAAGGAAAAAGAAAAAAAACATGGCGCAGATGGGTTAATCTTTTTGAGGACATTTAGCAAATGGCACCATTTTTAATTCTGTAACATACTTCTTTTATCATTCCTCTTTAAACACAGATATATTTCCAAGGTGGCAATCTGATTTATATGCAAAGGCCCACTCTCACTCTCTCTCCATGGGCCCCACTGTCTATATTTTTGCCCCTGGCATGCAAGCTTGCTTAATATGAGTGATGTTTTTGAACTTAGTAGGGATAAAAGAACATGGACGTGAGCAGCTTTCAGTGCACTTTGCATTTTCATTAAAACCAGTGTTAGATTAATAAAGTATAAACTGTATGATAGAGTGAGCAGTTAGTTTAATAAACAATTATTTTTTAAATACCACTGATTTGTTAGAGTCATTACCAGACAATGGGTTGAAAACAATTTAAAAGGCAGAATATTAAAAACAAACTTTCAGTAAAGATACTCATCAAGTTTTACTGCACCTCGGACATGGGGTCAAAAGCAAGGATTCCAAAAAGGTGGAGATATTTATCCTTATAACCATGCTGTTTAAGAAATGAAAGGCAGTGATAATATTGAAAGCCGAAATACCTCTTGATGTCTTGTTATTGAATAACTACACTATTCTATGTGGGCAGGGAGAGAAAAAAGAATTTTACTTTAGGTGAATTTAACAGTCATCCAGCATTTTGCCAGGTTCCAGCCACAAACTGAGATTGTGGTAACCACTGATACTCTCAGGTTGTACTACTCTATTTAAAACCATCAAAGAAAAGCATAGTTATGCTGATGCATAGAGGTATTTACTGTTTGCATTTAATCTCACAATGCCACTGTGTGCTGATTTGCTTCAGAATGAAAAGAGGAAGGACAGGTCTCAATTCAAAGTGCCAACACTTCCTCTCCCATGAGGAGAGGGCTAAGAGACAGAAACGGGGGATGTCCAGCTTCACCCTGACCTCAGCAGAGGACTGGGGTAACCTGCCCCACCACGTCGTCCTGCAAATCTTCCAGCATCTGTCACTGGTAGACCGGGCCAGGGCCTCGTCTGTGTGCCGCGGCTGGAATGACGTCTTTCACACCCCTGATCTGTGGAGGAGGTTTGAGTTTGAGCTCAATCAGTCGGCGACATCCTACCTACGCTCTACTCACCCTGACCTCATTCAGCAGATTATCAAAAAGCACGCCCAGCACCTGCAGTATGTCAGCTTCAAGGTAAGAGCCTTCCCTGCTGTCACCCATTTCTCCTCTCCTTTCACCTCCTCCTCCTCCATTTTCACAACACAGCTGCCTTGGAAACAATATGTGGCCTCGTTTATGAAAACCATCTGCTGCAGAACGGATCGTGACACCTCAGCTGCCTTTGAATTAACACATAGGCTGAGATTATTCTTACAGTACATCTATGTCTTTCCATTGCTCGCTTTTGTGTGTTTTTATAACTGTACCTAAATGGTGAATATTTGCTGGTAAATCAGGTGGACAGCTGCACAGAATCTGCAGAGGCAGCCTGTGACATTCTCTCTCAGCTGGTGAACTGTACCATTAAGACCCTGGGGCTGATTTCCACAGCGCGGCCCAGCTTCATGGATGTGTCTCAGGTAAGAGATTGCCTCTGCTTCATACGCACATCTCAACACGTTCACTGCTGCCCTGTTTGTTCTACACAAAGAGCTGGATTAGTCGCATGTTGACCATTTGCATGTCAAACTCAAGACTGTTGTTATCTCCCTCTTCTTTTATAATCAGTTACTGTGCAGTGATTTTATTTTGGCAAAAATATCCCTGAATTATGCATTTTTTTGCAAAGCTTCTGCATATTTACTTAGTATAAGATGTTCTGGTTTAATCAGCATTGTTTATCCGTCCTCAGGCCCACTTTGTGTCGGCACTGACAGTCGTGTTTGTCAACTCCAAGTCCCTCTCCTCCATCAAGATTGATGATACGCCAGTGGACGACCCGTCCCTGAAGGTGCTGGTTGCCAACAACAGTGACACCCTGAAGTTGCTGAAGATGAGCAGCTGTCCTCATGTCTCCCCAGCAGGTCACTATAGTGTTTTTTTTAAAGGGAATTATCTCGTTTTCTTTTTATTAGTCAGCACAGTAGAGAGTGGGCCAGAAATGGGAAGAGAGAGAAAGGGGAAATGATGTGCAACAAATTTCGCTGACTGGCATAGGCGGATTATGAGACAATGGGCCCCTGGGCACAGACCCACCACCTCTCCTCCACAGGAGCAAGACACACAGACTTTATAGTTGATGAGCCTCTTTTTGCTGTTGTGTTGCATCTCTTTGTAGTCGTTTCACATCTCTCTGTGTTTTTTTGTGTCCCTTTTTCAGATTTTTTTTGTGTCTGTTTTCTTGCCCTTTTTGTAGTGATTTTGAGTCTCTGTAGTTGATTTGTATCGTCATATTGTGTCTTTTTGTGGTTGTTTTGCCCCCTTTTCTTAGTCTTTGTGAGTCTCTTTGTGTCTTTTTACAGCTGTTTTGCGTCTCTTACCGATCATTCTGTGTATCTTTGTGGCCAAAGGGCCAAGAGGGGCCCTGACATTTAGGGACCCTGGGCCTGTGCCTAGTAGGCTTTAAGTACGAGTACAGTTAGTGTATTATATTCTTACACCACCAGGATGTTTGCGACTAACAGATAGAGATCATTAATATATTTTAGTCTGTAATCATATGTCCTGACTTCTCTCTCTGTCCTCAGGTATCTTGTGTGTTGCAGACCAGTGCCATGGACTCAGGGAGCTGGCGTTAAACTACCATCTCCTGAGTGATGAGCTCCTGCTCGCCCTCTCCTCTGAAAAGCACGTCCACTTGGAGCACCTGCGCATTGACGTGGTGAGCGAAAACCCCGGGCAGACGCACTTTCACACCATCAAAAGGAGCAGCTGGGAGGCTTTGGTCCGACACTCACCCAAGGTCAACATCGTGATGTACTTCTTCCTGTATGAGGAGGAGTTTGAGCCCTTCTTCCGCGAGGAGACTCCCGTCACCCACCTGTACTTTGGCCGGGCAGTTAGCAAAGAGATGCTGGGACGCATAGGGCTGAACTGCCCTCGACTGGTGGAGCTGGTGGTGTGCGCCAACGGCCTTCAGCCCTTGGATGAGGAGCTGATCCGCATTGTTGAACGCTGCAAAAACTTGACTGCCATCGGGCTAGGCGAGTGTGAAGTGACCTGCAGTGGCTTTGTGGAGTTTGTGAAGATGTGCGGGGGCAGGCTGACTCAGCTGTCAATCATGGAGGAGGTGTTGATCCCAGACAGCAGCTACAACATGGAGCAGATCCACAGTGAGGTGTCCAAGCACCTCGGTCGTATGTGGTTCCCTGATATGATGCCCACCTGGTAGGCTGATATGAAGCCAGGGTGGCTTCATATCAGCACGTGACTTTCACTGACTTCAGTACATGACTTTTATGGACAGTTACTGTATGGATGTGCATCCACAGTTACACATTTTATTGTTGAACTGATGTCTCAGCCTGCAGTGTGATGCTCTCAGATGAGAGACAGTTTCTCTGTCATCAGTGATCTCTCATTTCTAAAGCTTCTAAAGCACTTGTATTTTTACCTGCAGTAAATTTAATTTAAGACTGAAAATGTTTCCCTCTTTAAAACATTTGCAGACTGATTTCTGTCTGGCTATCTTGTGAGCAGTCAGCTTTCTTTCTATGCATCGATACTGTGATGTGAAATCTTAGATGCACTAGGCTCTTTCAGTCTATGAATTATGGTCTGAAGTTACAGTTGCTCACTGCAACCTTTCAATCAGTATGTGTTAAGGATGTGGGTCTGCCATCTGCTGGTTGCTTTTGTTACAAGCATCACACTTCAGAATTTATCTTGAACAGCATCTGTGATAATATCATCAGTGAATATTGTTTAATGAATTCCATGTTATTTTGTGGTGAAATGTTGTTCTTTACTTTATGGCTTCATCCCTTTAAGTCTCAAATCACTTCATCTACTCATCCTTAAAGGGACAGTTCACCTAAAAATCAAAAATACATATTTTTACTCTTACCTGTAGTGCTATATATCATTCTAGATTGTTTTGGTGTGAGTTGCTGAGTGTTGGAGATATCGGCCATAGAGATGTTTGTCTTCTCTTTAATAAAAGATGGCAAGCGGGTCACAGCGCAGAAGGAAGCGGGCATCTATTTGTGGACAAGAGGCTTGTGCTCGCTCGATGTAAACATTAATGGCCTCCTCCTCTGGGCTGAGTTGTAACAATAGCTAGCTTAGTGGTAGCAGCATATACATGGTTCCTTCTTCACAGTGATATGCTTAGCAGGTATAGTTCGATAAAAAGAAAATAGTTCCTACATGAAACTGCTCACAACTCGGTCTGTGGATTATCTTGAGTAAACAGTTAACATTTTCTGGAAAGAGACATTGCTGTTGAGCTTTTCAAATGTATTTGTTTGGCTCTTTAAGTACCACAAGCTGAGTGCCATCTAGTTCCATTATATTTAAGAGAAGGCAGACATCTCTATAGCCGATATCCCCAACACTCTGCAGCTCACACCAAAACAATCAAACTGATAAATAGCACTACAGGTAAGAGGAAAAATGTGTTTTCTAATTTTAGGTTGAAGTGTCTCTTTAAGTATTTTTTTTTCTTTCCCAGGACACAGTTTGAGAAGTCTGAAGTGGGTGCATCCAGCCGTTGATAGAGAGAGCCCCAACAATAGTGATACTAAAGCAGCACAAAGAGAACAAGAATTTCAAGTCAAGTCAGTGCAACAGGCACACCTTCATGAAAAACACAATGGGTCTTGTATTCCTTTCTATTTGTGTTTGTGTCAGTAGGGACTTCAATATATCATCTTAAACCACCACATTTTAATTTGGTATTTCAGCACTGGCTAAGACAGATGAAGGTTAACACACCAGATGTCTTCACTGCGCTCAAAATAGAAGCCTCTAAGTGTTTTTTTTTATCGTGATTTTTTTTTTTTTTTACCACATGGTGCAAAATTTATTTTGTGCAAGATGGTTCTAGTTCCAGATCCGTGCTGTAACACACGCTCTATTAAAGGGACAGTTCACAACAAAATCAAAAAATACATATTTTTCCCTTGTAGTGTTATTTATCAGGCTAGATTGTTTTAGTGTGAGTTGCTGACTATTGGAAATGTCTGCCTTCTCTCAAATATAATATAACTAGATGGCACTCAGCTTGTGGTGCTCAAAGCGCCGAAAAAGCACACTTGAAAAACTCAACAGCAATGTCTCTTTCCAGAAATCATGATCCAGTTACTCAAGATAATCCACAGACCTGTTTGTGAGCGGTTTCATGTGGGAACTATTTTGTTTCTACTGAATAACATCTGCCGACCATATCACCGCGCAGGAGGAAGTATCTACTGCTAGCTCATCTACCACTGAGCTAGCTAACATTACATCTTACATTTTGTCACGAGCATGAGACTCTTGTCCGTGAGGAGATGCACACTTCCTTCTGCGCAGTGATACGGTTTGCAGGTGTAGTTTGGTAGAAAGAAAATAGTTCCTGTATGAAACTGTTCACAACAAGGTCTGTGGATTATCTTCAGTAACTGGGTCATGATTCCTGGAAAGAAACATTCATGGTGAATTTTTCCGACAGATTTTTCTTTGGCGCTTTGAGCACCACGAGCCGAGTGCCATCTAGTTCCATCATATTAGAGAGAAGGCAGACATCTCTACAGCTGTAACTCACACCACAGCAATCAAATTGATAAATAGCACTACAGGTAACAGTAAAAATATGTTATTTTGATTTTGGGGTGAACTGTCCCTTTAAAACCATTTTAAAAAAATGTTCTGTTTTTGTATATTCATCTGATATATTTACATGTTTGCTATATATGTGCAGCAGTGATCGGGTTGCTCAGGTCTGGAGGTGCTCTTTTTTGTGAATTGTGACTGCTGTGTTTTATTCTCAATAAAACAAAAATAACTTAAATGCGGCGTGTTCTTGTATCTGTAATACGATCAAGCCTCATCTCGGATGTTTCAATGTCTGTTTTTCTGACTTTGTCCTGTTTGACCTTTCTGCAGCTTTTTATTCTCAACGCTAGAGAGCAGCAGTGATCTAACTGGAGGCAGTGGGACCTTATATAAGCAGAGCTGCTACTGTATAATGAAGTATGCCAATGATAACTCAGCCCTTTTTACAAGTGGATTCGGCTTGTGCACACTCCATTTCCATAAAAAAAGCGCCAGACTTCGTAGCTTGGGATCCTTTTCTTCTGATTCTTCTGAATTTACCTTTTCGGTTGTTTGATCTCAACGCTGCATCTGACATAATATGACGCACACACATACACACACTTGGATGAACAAAATCTGATCTTTGTTATGTGTAATTACAACAGATTTAATAGATATATATATATATAAATACACAAAACTTGTCACAGGCCCAGCCTACAGTATAAAAACATTGATTTTTCTTCACAGGTAAATTAAATGAGAAATCTGTAAACCACACACGTGTTTGCCTCAGTGACAGGATGCATTGTGACTGTTTAGGGTATCTAGGTGAGAGGAATATATTAAACCAGCTAAGCATTTTGTTCTGGAAAAGTGCCACGTTTTGGAGGGGTGGGTGGCATGACTAATTGGGTTACCACTGTGCTCTGAAAACCCATCAGGAAAGTAACAGGCTTATGTGTTCACTATGGCAGCTTGTTATGAGGAGAGGGCCTACATACTTTTTGTATCTCATCTCCCCAATCGATGATTTGTCACAAGTCAAAGAGGAGGAGTTATGTCTCCCTGATTGCATTTATGTAAGAACAGCACCCCCCAAAATTATACTGGGATATGTCCGCTTATGAGCCAGTGCAGAGTATTTACAGTTTTCTGAATGAATAATTGTCTTATTCCTACAAGTTGCCAGCAAGTGTCTGTTTCTCATGTGTGCACAGGCCTCTGATAGTTTTCACTGATGACATTCAGTGTGAATTCATCCACCATGATATCAGAGGCGGTGGGAGACTGGGGATAAATGTCCGCAGAGGTCTCCAGGGTAGGAGAGGGTGGGGTGGACAGCCTGGAGCGTTTGACCTGCCCCATGCCCCTTAAGCTCCTCCACTCCTTCATCCACTGCTCCCTCGTGGAGGGCTCCAGCTGGTCCAGATGCCTGGCTTGCACAAGCGGGGAGGGGGCGATAGAGTTCCTCAGCACGTGAAACATGTACCTGGGGGAGAGAGTGTGGTGGTGAGAAAGTAGGCCAGTGAAAAATATGCGGCCCTTTGATGTAAATCAGAGCATTCCCTCTAAATATCAGCACTTTCAGACGCATCAGCAACCAGGAGGAAGACCGAGCCCGTGGTGCAGTCGTTCCTGGACTTCACAATTAACATTATTTAATTACATATCAGCCTTGACTGTCTATGCACCGCAGCAACCTTGTAATTACATAGCAGTTTGTGATCTGCACAAGTGAAAAATATTCTCCAAAATAATGCATGAATAACATCATTTTGAGGTTGATTAGGTTTAAAAAGGGGTGGACACATGGGTGGATTATGAGACAATGGGCCCCTGGGCACAGATATGCAAAAGGCCCCACCACCTCTCCAACATAGGAACAAGACCTTCCTTATATCCTTACATATAGATTGTTGTTTTGTTTCTAATAGCGTGATCTTATCATTCTTATTTTTATCTTTTATACATTTAAAATGCACTGTTGGAGGGAGTCTGTGACCCAAGTTTTTCAATAGCAATTACTGCTCTTGTAATTGTCGTTCATTTGACAATAAATAACCTTGAACATTAAAGACATAAAGACAACAGTGTTTTGTTGTTGTTGTGTTTTTGTGTCTTTGTAATCATTTTGTGTCTCTTGGCAGTTCTTTTGCATCTTTTTGTGGATTAATTGAAGTCTCTTCCTTGTCTGTACATGTTCATTTGAGTAACATTTTGAGTCACATTTTGCAGGTGAAGTTCAGGGGGCCCCTGAAAGTTTGGGCTCCTGGGCCTGTGCCCTGTAGGCCCATTAAGTAATCTATCCATGGGGGGACTACTACTATCCTGTACTTCAGTAAAAGTAGACAACAGTGAAGAAATATTGCAAGAAAAAGTCATACATTAAATTTTACTTGAGTAAAAATACAAAAGTATTTGCATTAAAATACATGTAAATTACTGTAAAGGAAATATACTCCTCGTACAAAATGTCCCATTTCAGAATAATATTGGGTGAAATTTACTGGATACATTAATGTGTGAAGGTCGGGCCAGTGTTAATTACTTTATATATTGGCTGGGCACTTTGTTTGTAATAATACATCATACTTTATTTGTTGATTGCATTTTTATTATTAATCAGAATCTGTAAAGTAACTTAAGTTATCAGAGACATGTATTAGCATGCATAGCAGCATTAAATGGGAATACAAATGTCTCTAAATTGTACTTAAGTGCAGTACTTGAGAAAATGTATTTAGTTACTTTTCACCACGGGTGTGGAGCTATTTTTTTTCTTCAGTGAATGTTTTATTTGTAGGATTTTTAGGGGCCTAAAGGGATGAAAGTATCCCGCATTTCACAATAAAATAAAACAAAATAAAATAACATAATCAGATTAAAAGGTAAATATAAATATAAATTTCTCAAACATTTTTTTGTTTCTTTTTCCTTTATTTATGTTGGCACCACTCAGATTTATTTTGGGATAAGCTCTAGACTACAATACCCTCAGTTTATGTTAAATAGAAATATGACTGCAAACTGCTTAAATGGTGTAAAGACTTCTCTAACTTTTAGTTTTGTATTGATTTAAAAAAAAAAAAAGTCAATTTATCGATTATTTAATTTGCACTTATTGTGACTGCTCTCCTCTGTTTTCACTCACAGTGGGGTTATGTAATGTCTTTGGGTTTTGGACAGCTGGTTGGACATATCTTCTGACATTTTAAGTACAAAATAATGAACTGATTAAAAAAGAGGTTAGTTGCAGCCCTAGTTACATGAGGTCAACTTGAAAGGGCCATTGAGGCACCCAGTGATCATACAAGTTCAAAGCAAA